GAACCGATCTTTTTCTGAGATCAGATTAGAGCTGCGGCATATGGACGCTGTCTCGGTAGATTACGAAGACTGCTGCTTAGAGATCTGTGTGTGAATGTGTGTGTGCGCAGGACGGACGAGGGGGGCCGGAGGAAGTGTGGACAGTACTGGCCCAAGGAGGAGGGCGGTCAGGAGGTGTACGGGCACATCGCTGTGGTCAATCACAGAGTGGATAAACAAGCACATTACAACCAAACCACACTTGAGCTGCACAACACTGAGGTACCACACATATACCAGTTTTTGTTTCAATGTTTTTAATAAACAACAAGTCACTAATTATGATTTCATATATGATTTATATAATGATTTCAATCTTACAACTTAATGTGGCTGTAGTATTGCTGAGTAATATTACTAGAAAATTATATTTCAATATTTCATAGCATTTTGATGGTATTTGAGCTCTGTCTGTATGTATGTATGTGTGCTGTCTGTATGTATGTATGTGTGCTCTCTTTATGTTTGTATGCTCAAAACCACTTTTAAGCATCATTTTAGCCCAATATTATTTTGTTGCATTGTGGTTTCAAAATATAAGAATACAATAAACATCTAGTTACATAATTTCAAGCTATTTAATCCACACTGTTTTTCACTAAATGACAACAAGAACAACAAAAAAACATTAAAATACTTGTTTATATGCACCAATATAACAATGCATAGTTATAAGTTGCAATATAATTATTTAGATAGATAGATAGATAGATTTAGACTGCGAACTCAGAACTAAAATATAACTTTCTTTTGCTTTGGCGCTGAATATTGTGGTTCTGTATATCTGACTTTGAAGAAAAGTAAAATGGAACTTTGTCTGAATTTTTGTTGTTTTTCCCCAGACATTCGAACAGAGACAGGTGACTCATTTTCAGTTCCTCAGCTGGCCTGATTACGGGGTCCCGTCCTCAGCGCTGTCTCTGATTGACTTCCTGGGTGCCGTGAAGCACCAGCAGCAGTGGGCGGTCCAGGCTTTCGGCTCACAGTGGAGGGGTCATCCGCTCGGCCCGCCCATGGTGGTCCACTGCAGTGCTGGCATCGGCCGGACCGGTCAGTCATTAAACGAACCACAAAAACAAATCTACATATTAATGAGCTGCTTTAAAGTTCTAGCCAAAAAGGAAAATTCTGTCATCATTTGCTAAACTTGTATGACTCTTCCACTTCTGTGGAACGTGAAAGATATTTTGAAGAATGTTGGTAACCAAACAGTTACCAAAATATAATGGAAGTCAATGGGAACCAAAATTATTTGGTTACCAACATTCTTCAAAATGTCGTCTTTCATTTTCCACAGAAGAAGGTCATACAGATTTATTAAATGAACATTAAATAATATATTTTGGATTTTAATAACAGTTTTGGGATATTGGTGACCAAACAGTTTTGGTTCCCACTGACTTCCATTGTATTGACAAAAATACAATGGAAATCAATGGGAACCCAAACTATTTAGTTACCTACATTCTCCAAAATATCTTCTTTTATGTTTCAAAGAAGAAAGACAGTCATACAGGTTTAGTAAATAAATATAAAAGGAGATATTTTGAAGAAAGTTGGAATATTGGTGACCAAACAGTTTTGGTTCCCATTGACTTAGGGTGACCATTTGTGCCATTTATATGGGACACGTCCTGGCCAGGATTTTTATATTGCCTAAAACATCCAAAGTAGTTTGACCAATAACATGCAGGTATTGTACATAATCGAAAGCGTGGACGCGTGAGAAGTTGAGATCTACAGAGAACTATCAAAACCATGCAAATACGCACACATGTTTGTTCGTTCGTTCGACTTGAAGCGTCGCTGCGCACCGATCATTGTATGACACCAAAGTATTGCGAGAGCGATTTGAATGCATAAGGAGCCGTCTGCTCTGCTCTGGATAACCTGGATATTTTAGGCAATATAGAAATCCTGGCAAGGACACGTCCCGTAAAAATGGCCCGTATGGTCACCCTACATTGACTTCCATTGTGTGGACAAAAATGCAATGGAAATCAATGGGAACCAAAACTATTTAGTTAATGAAAATTCTCCTAAATATCTTCTTTCATGTCCCACAGAAGAAAGGAAGTCATACAGGTTTGGTAAATGAAATAAAAAGAAGACATTTTGAAGAATGTTGGGATGTTGGTAACTAAATTGTCTCGATTCCTATTGACTTCTGTTATATGGACAAAGAAGACAATGGAAGTCAATGGGAAACCGAAACGATTCGGTTTCCAGCAGTCTTCAAAATATCTTCCTTCATGTTACACTGAATAAAGAAAGTCATACCGGTTTGAAACAACACTAGGGTTAGAAAAGGATCACAGAACTTTCATTTTTGGGTGGACTGTCCCTTTACTGGCTTATCAGACTGACTTCCTCTGCCCACAGGTACTTTTTGTGCGCTGGATATCTGTCTGTCCGAGCTGCAGGACGTCGGGACTCTTAACATTTGCCAGACGGTTCGACGGATGAGAGCGCAGCGTGCCTTCAGCATCCAAACACCCGAGCAGTACTATTTCTGCCACACCGCCATCCTCGAGCATGCCCAGAGACAGGGCCTGCTTTCAGCCAATCAGTGAGCATCAGGGCCCACTCGTAGCCAATTAGAGACCAAAAAGGTCTAATCTGAACCAATCAGTAAGAGGCAAGGCCTGCTCTCATCCAATCATAAGACAAGGCTTGTTCTTGATTGATCGGCGACTCTTAGACAGGATAATTCCCAATCGAAATCACTGGGTTTTTGATTAATCTGTCATTATTAAAAGACGGGCAGCATAAATAGTAACCATCAATGACGCCGTATGAAGGGGGTGTCTAAATGTTCAGTGATCCTGCTGTAGTGTAGTCTATGTAATGTTGTGCTGCATTTAGTGCAGTTTATTCTGTGAATTTTATCCAAATTGTCAAAATTCATATTTCACATGAAGCTTCAAATCAGCTGCGCTCAGATGTGATTCAGGACAAACGAACATACAATTTCTAGAATTTAGAGTCATTTGTCATTCTGTAGGTCTTTTTATTCCATAACACCTCAGACCAACAGTCCGTCCACGTGTTTAATTTGCCCAAAAATGTAAATTCTGTCTTTATTTACTCACTCTCATGTCATTTCAAATCCATTTTACTTGCTTTTTTCTGTATAACAGCCGAATGTCATTCTGCTCCTTTTGTGTTTCACAAAAGAAAGGAAGTCATACATGTTTGAGATGACTTGACGGTGAGTTTTGTACTCATGTCTGACCCATGGGATGCAGTCATTGCACACTAGAGATTTTTATGTATTTGCTGGAATTGAATGCAGATTTATTGTCAAAATTCTGCTTGTATTCTGTATCAGGAATGTCTCTGTAGTTTGTAGGCCATTTTTTGCAATTGCATCTGAAGATGATGGTTTAGAGAAAGCCAGGATGAGGAAAAGTCTTCTCACTTCAACTGGATGGATCGGTAAACCTCTATAACACAACAATTACTCAACTGATATAGTCTTTTGTGTGTGTGTGTGTGTGTGTGTGGTGTAAATGTGAGATGGCTACATTGATTCATTTACACTTGTAATAATTTTTCTGTTAATATTGTACTAAAAACCTGTTTAAAATATCTAAACGTTCCTGTAAAGTGCATTTAGAAACGCTTTTTATTTTGTTGTGGGTTGAAAGAGTCTTTGCTACTGAATTCATATTGAATTTTCTTGTAGTGAAGCATCTGTACACACTCCCAGTGATTCCAGGATCTGCAGTCCTGCCTTGATGGGCACACAATGTGACCAATTGTATTTTTCTATTATACCCACGCTTTGTTTTCACTTATTACTCCCAAATATATATACGTAAATTATATTTTCTTTTATATCCAATTTTATCTTTTATTTCTTCTTGTTACTTATATCAATGGAACAACTAACCTGTAATGTCAAGCTTGTGATTCTCAATAAGTTCACAGCGGTTCTTTTAGTGATAAAGTCCTTTGCTCTGCAGTTAAAAAGCCTTATTCTTTCTGGATGTTTGAATTGAATGAAACGTTTATGTGAAAAGACTGTACAGGTTTCGGCTGTCTTGGTGTCCATCTCGAACTAAAAACCGAGCTGTTCAAACTGCAATATCATTTGAGCAAAACCAAATCAAAACCTTCATTCAAATTAATAAAGTTTATGAAATGGACAAACTATATTGACTGCGTGTTTTAATTCAACCTTTCACAACTACATAAAAATTCTGTAGTGATTTCTAACAGGTGTATGTTAAAAAAACGAATGCAAATGTGTGAAAATATATGTTCTGCCTGGTTTTTTTTTCTCTCACAAGGTATCAGTTTTTAAGACTTTATTAATATTAATGCTAACCTTTATCTAGTATAATATAATTTTGGTACATAAAACAACAACAGAAGTTGGTAAAAAAGTTCTGCGAGTTATTTTTACGTCTCATACCACATAAAATGGTAGATATCCCTTAAATACCTGTTGCAGAAAAAAAAACTGAGCAAGGGGAGTGGCCCGCGCTTATTCAGCCAATCAGAAACATTCTCTACCTGTCAATCATTTTAAGCATCCCTCGCTGTACTGCCTTTCGAAGGCGGGATTTCGACGAGGGGCGTGTTCTAACTCCGTAATAACTGGCGGAATTTAGCAAAGCGTTAACATAAGTATCACGTCTCTGTCAGTGGCAAATAGTCGAATCCAAACGGTGTTCTTTAAAAAAATATATTGCTCCTTTTCTTTGCTTTAAGCTATTTAAAATATACTAACACATTGTTGCGCCTCTAGTGTCATTTCAGAGTAAATATTAAACCAAATTACAAAGAAAAACATCTAGTGGAATACTACAGGTGTGCTGAGTAGTACATCCAAAGAATTTATACTGGTCTTCTATACTCTTTGGTACTACATCTCTGTGCCTATATGCATTTGGCGGGTCGTATTCAAATCCAGATGACGCATGCGGTCACGTAGACCAATGGGAGGAGAGGGGGGCGTTCCCAACTATTTGTTCCAAACACGAATCCGGAGTGCGAGGCTCTTTTTCGCAGGTATGTAGCAGCTGGGCAAAAGAAAACAAATTTATGTTGTCCTCTTTTGATCGAATATACGTTTCTGTCGGTGTTTGAGTGCTTTCTGCAGGGGGCTGGTCGTTCAGGAGATTTTAGTGCATTAATCGGGCTGTTCGTTCGATCATTGCACATTAAGGGGAGAAAAAGGGGCAAAGCTTTGGCTAACTGAAGCAGCAAAGAAACGTGTATCTCTATGTTATGAGACACAAACCCATCTGTGTGTGTCCGATGCTTTCCCGGGGGCTTTTCTAACTTGTTTTTGATCTGAAAGCAGATCTGTAGCTCTGTCTGGTGTTCAGAGGGGAGGGGGGGGAGAGAGGTGCTCAAACACGGTTAGACATTTTCCCCTTCAGTCTCCCAGTAAACAAAGAATATTAGATCAGCTGGCGTGTTTATGCTGTAATGCATGATCGGATCCCTCATTTCAGATCTTCGCATGATCACATAAGCGAGTGCGTGTTCATGCGATCAGATTTTTAGTTCCCATTTTGACTTTGGGTCTGATTACTAAAGGACAACATGTCATGATAGAGGCGTGTGTGGTTGTGGTGCCATGTTCGTGTGTGCTCGTTCAATCTAGAAATCATGAGATCATGAAATGTGTCCTTAATAAACGTTTGATGGTGTTTATACGCGGATCTTTTGTTCGGTGTCGTGTTATAGCGTTCGCGAACATGAAGAATATTTGAGCGCTTTGCGTCAAAATCAGTCCGAACTTGTTTATTCTGTAAGTTTGAGATGTTTTGGTTCGTGTTATTTTGGGTTTTGTCCGTATTTTAAGCGAAACGCTGTACACACAAACACACACAAGCGAGCATCAGCTCTGACTGACTGCGGACGGGGCGAGGAATCCCGGGCACTGGCTTAAGCCCCGCCTCTCGTGGGCGGAGCATGGCAATATGAGCCTCACGTCATACATAACGCCCTCGCTGAACACCCGACCAATTAGAATCGACGATTCTCCGCGTAAACGCCCCTGTGGGCTTACGTCATGCTTTACGCGTTGTCAGAGCGTTTGGCCAATCGGAGTCCAGAATTCTATAAGAGGCGGTTATTTAATAAAATCCCTCAGTCTGATTGGCCAGATGTTCTGAGGGGGCGTAAAGAATGACGTAACCTCAGGCAGGAAGTTCAGGAAGTTGCTGAAAGCGTTCAGACCTGTTTTTATATAGTCTATGGTTCAGACATAATGCCGCGACTTCATTAGGAAAATCACAAAGACTAAAATTAAGCCCGGTCAGATCGCTACTAACTCTCCAGTCTAAAAAGTGATTTAGCGTACGAGCTTCTCAAAGCCAGTCGTGGTTTCAGGAGTTTGTTTGTTTGTGTGTGCGCGTGCGTGAAACAGTAGAGGATTTGGGCTCAACCCGCCTAACAATGTTAATTCTTGCTTGAGTGACAGTCGAGAACTTCAATAAAAATACAACCCAATGTCGTCTCCTGAGCAAAGAGCCAATCAGAGACCAAGTGGGCGGAGACGGTTCGCAAAGCCTATGTTAGCCCCTCCCCTCCTCACCGCTTGTTTTCAACAGGAATTTTAGTTGATTTTAAACTGTTTTAATGTGTTTTATCGGTGTTTTCGGTGTGAGTTTTAGTATTTATGTGATATTTTAACAGCCGTGGTGAACTATAAGCGCAGCTAACAGAAGCGGGTGAGTCTCAGAGGTATAAAATACCAGTTTTATTCGGTATTTCTGAACTTTTTTTTCCTCTCAATAAGCTGGTTTTCTGTCAGACTGAAACTTCCGACCTTTAGTTTTCTTAGTTTCTTTGATAAAAGCGAAATTCCTGTCCAAACTTCTCCACTTTTAGTCGCGGGTTAGCAAGTTAGCATTAACAGTCTGCATGTGTAGGGCACACACACACACACACACACACACACACATCAAGCACGTGTATACACACCCATATACATTTATATACGTACTTATTTATACACACACACACTCACCATGCACATGTGTATATATCGCATACATATTTACATGTACGTTTATATACACATCATACAAATTTATATATACATGTGCACTCCATTGCTCATGTGTATATATACACATCATACACGTTTGTATATGCATATACATTACTGTGGTCTTTATTCATCAGATAGTCAGAGTCTAGACTAGTAGATTATTGGTAATGGTTTGGACTACAGCCAAATCATGATATTTAATAAGTTGCTGTCTTTGTCTTGTCTGTTCCAGGTCTTAGGTTCCGTCTTGAGTATGAGTACAGCATGAGGAGGCGTTTAGAGGATCAGGAGCCAGTGTTCACCCCACAACAGCGCCGGCTTCCTGGCAGCGCCGAGGGCTTCCAGCACAGGGTTCTTGCCCCAGCGCCTGCCGTATTCGAGGCTGTGGCTGACAGCATGCAGCCTACTCCCGGAATACAGTTCCCGGTTCCCCAGGCATACCAGGTGCAGACACACACCATGCATTGTGATGCATTATAGCTCCAAGGAATGTGTTCACACTTGCATCCGTTTAATCCAGAGTGACTCCAGAATCTCCAGAGGCCAAAATTATATTTTAGGATCATTGCCGTACTATTATAGTTTTTTAGTTGATTAGTTTTTTCTTATATTTTCTGTTTTTGTTTTACTTGTAGTGTTTTTAAAAAGTGTCTATAATTTTTTATTAGTGTTTATTTCAGTTTTAGTTATTTTAGTTCTGTTTAGTACTGCTAAAGTACTACAGTTTAGTACAACTAAAGAAAATGAGAAGTGTTGCATTGGCAATTAACTGAAATAAAATAAGGTTATTGTTTGTTTATATTAAATTATATTTCTATAAAATATATACATTTGCATTTATATCTGTTTTAATAAAATATATCTTGTTCTGAAGATGAAGTTGAAATTATATATGTATGTGTATATATGTGTATATAT